TATTGTGGTAAACAAAAATAGAATACTGAACAACAATTATTGTCAATATGTGGAAAAATTTGGGTTTTAATAAGTTGAAGTTTGGTGCTTTTGTCAAATATATACTTAAATTTATACAAGGTTTTTAATTTTACCATGCAGCATTTAAAAATATAATCTACATGAAAAGAAAATGATAGACAATCATCCATTATCACCCCCAGGTTTTTTGTCTTTTCCACCCAAGGAATATTTTCACCTTCTATTAACAAACCAAAATTTGCTTTAATAGACATACTTTGATGCTCTCTTCCTATGCAAAGGGCCACCGTTTTGCTAGGGTTTAAACGTAGACCATGCATTTTTGAATATCTGGAAATATTTTCAATATCTTTATTGACTATATCAATAGCGTTGTGAATATTTGAGTTCTCAAAGGAATAATATAATTGTACACCGAAAAAAATAATGTAGTTGAGTTAACATTTGCCTAAATGTCATTTTTGAAAATGTTGTTTCAACAAAAAACCTATTGGATTAATCTATATTTTGGTGTTAAAGCAATAGTCAGAGTTTGTCAAAGTTTATTTGTTCATTTGACAGTTAAAATTTTGATTTAACATAAACTAATTTTTTGAATTCAAATCTTTATCCTATTTTGATATAATAGCTGGAATAGGTTGAATCGACCACTGAAATGTTTAGGATTACCTAAAAAAACTATTAAGTTAACGTTTAGTTGCTCTTTAATCCAAAACACTAAATTTGTTCATTTAACAAATTGTAAATGTTACTTTAAAATTTAAAATGTAAAATTTGCATTCATAAAATTGCCGAGAATGGCGCTTCGAACACCCGCGCCACGTCATTAGACGATGACGTGTTCTTACATCTCGCCTTAGTTGGCTTACGATTAGGGGTATATAAGATCAGGTAGCAGTTTGTTTTAGGTGTGTTCCACAGTGGAACTTTCACTACACCATATTGCCCGACACTGATAAGACCCTCAATACAGGGCGAAACAGCTGTCTGTCGGTATTTAAAGTAGGTGGAACACGCTCAAAACAAAAACTCTGGGCGAGGTGAAGGTTCAATTCTTTCTCTTTATATATAATAATATATTATTTCCATAATTTTGTTTTGGATACCAACCTTTAAAGAATTTTAAATTTTCAGAATGTTAATTTAACATTTTATTGGTGTTAAGTGAATATGCTAAAAAGGTTACCTGGACATTTCAAGAAATTCACCTTAACACCCTAAGGATGTTAAATTAACCAAATTAGCAGATTAGAACAAATATTCTCATTTTGTTCATTTGACTGTTATTTGTTGTTCAATTAAACAATACAATTTGACATTTTTAGATGGTTAAGTAAACGTGCAAAAACCATTGCTTGTATTTAAAGTGCATAAAGAGTTGAATTAATATTTTTGTTGTTGTTTCAACAGCTTATTTTTTTTAGTGTACGTCATCTGCATACAGATGAATTGAGCAATTGGAAATGCAGTCCGTCATATCAAAAACATAAATCAAAAACAGCAAGCGGCCCAAAATACTACCTTGTGGGACACCGGAAGTTGTATTTTTTAATTTCATTGAAAGTTTCGCAGTTTACTGAAAATTTCGCATAAATTTCACCTGCGGCCTCCCCTGGGACCTTTAATAATAATTTACAACAGATTCCGAATCGACCAATAAGAACGAGTTATCAATCGTCTGGGCGTTTTTGTTTAGTTCGGCTTGGATTTGAATACACTATAAGTAATTATTGTTACTTATATGCATAAATTAATTTAAATAATTTAATTCAGTTACCAATTTGATTTGTAAATTAAATCAGACTTAAAATTTTTTTTAAAAGTAAACTTTTCCTTTAGCTATAAGTACATCGAAAAACGGATAAAAAATGCCTTCGGCTCATAAAATTTTGATGAAGTTTCTTAAATTTTTGTAAAATTTCAGTAAAATATATAAAAATAATAAATATATATTTATAAATATAAAACAATGAAAGTGGCACAATCTCATTAGCTTACCAAAAAGTGCTATATCTCTCTTAGTTTTAGTAATTTTAAAAATATTTTAAAAGGAAATCTCAAGAAATTTGTGGTGAACATAGGTATTTACTATTTATATTATTGGTGCAGGGGCCCACAGAGGGGTAGGAGGTAAGAGAGGCAATTTGCCATGGTCACCGAGTGGGCTTATTTCAATATTTATATATTACACTTAAAGTGAATGAAATTTATTGAAAGTTTCAATAAATTTCATGAAATTTCAGACATTTGGGAAATTTTAATAAATTTCATAAATGTCATGAAAATTTCAAGTGAAATTTCAAGTACAAGCAAAAAGTGAAATTTTCCCAACCCTACATACAGTAAATCGATGATGAATGAAAGTACACGTTATCTTTATTAACTAAGTAAATTAAATTTATTATAAATTATTTATATAAAGTACAAATGAACAAAATTCGATCCCTACTTGCAATAAGTTGACAATTATGACAAATATACCTACTTAAATGGCGATAAATTTGTTTATTATTGTCAATTCCATGGAAACAAAGCAATATAGGTACAAAGAAATACATTAAATTGAGATTTTAGAAAATAAGTAAAATGAAGTATGAAAATGTTATCATTTTTAATTTCTGAATTTCAATTGACATATTCTGAATTACAATTGTTACTGTCTGAATACTATTTGTAATTTCTGAATATCAATTGCTACTGTCTAAATATCATTTGCAATATCTGAATTACATCAGCTACTTTCTGAATATCATTTGAAATATATGAATTACATTTGCTATTTTCTGAATTTCATTTGCAATATCTGAAAATCAATTGCTGCTTTCTGAATATCAATTGCTACTTTCTAAATATCAACCGGAAAAGGTGTAGTCCTTTAATGCGATATAACAATTAATGTAATCTCGAATATCTCGGAAACAGTTTATTTTATCGAAGTTTAAGAGGTACACCTTTTTAATAGTAGCCGAATTAATCAATCTAAAAATTGCATCATATGGTATAAAAACCTAACCTCAAAGTTTGTATGGGACAAAAAGATTAAGCAACCCCTGTTTCTACTACACTTGTTCACTGGAACAATTGTAATTATGTGTGAATATGTGTTTTGGTAGTAAGTGACTGTTCGCAAAATATCTCCTTTCCAAGTCTACTACAGTAGAAGTTATATTAAAAAAACTGATATTATAAATAACACTTTATCACCCTCTATCTTTTAAACATACTTAATTAGGAAAAATATTTATTTAGATTTTCGTTTTATTTTGACATGCTTAATCTGCTCCTAAATGTATGCCACTAAGTTTAGGGACACCTTGTATATATATTTTTTCAAAATTAAAAATTCCAATAAACGGTAAAGCATAGAAAAATAACTAACTACGCGACAGCGGCTGCCAGGACTCGGAATAGGAAAGGCCGGAATAGGTTCCGATATTTGGGAATAGGTACACCGAAAAAAATAATGTAGTTGAGTTAACATTTGCCTAAATGTCATTTTTAAAAATGTTGTTTCAACAAAAAACCTATTGGATTAATCTATATTTTGGTGTTAAAGCAAAAGTCAGAGTTTGTCAAAGTTTATTTGTTCATTTGACAGTTTAAATATTAATTTAACATAAACTAATATTTTGAATTAAAATGTTTATCGTACTTTGATTTAATAGCTGGAATTTGTTGAATCAACTACTGAAATTTTTAGGATTACCTAAAAAAACTATTAAATTAACGTTTAGTTGCTCTTTAATCCAAAACTTTAAATTTGTTCATTTAACAAATTTAAAATGTTACTTTAAAATTTAAAATGTAAAATTTGCATTCATAAAATTGCCGAGAATGGCGCTTCGAACACTCACGCCACGTCATTAGACAATGACGTTTTCTACCATCTCGCCTTAGTTAGCTTACGATTAGGTGTATATAAGATGAGATATCTGTTTGTTTAAGGTGTGTTCCACAGTAGAACTTTCACTACACCATATTGCCCGACACTGTTAAGACCCTCAATACAGGGCGAAACAGTCTGTCGGTATTTGAAGTAGGTGAAACACATGATACAAAGATGTATCATGGGTGGAACACGCTCAAAACAAAAACTCTGGGCGAGGTGAAGGTTCAATTTTTTCTATTTATATATTATAATATATTATTTCCATAATTTTGTTTTGGATACCAACCTTTAAAGAATTTTACATTTTCAGAATGTTAATTTAACATTTTATTGGTGTTAAGTGAATATGCTAAAAAGGTTACCTGGACATTTCAAGAAATTTACCTTAACACCCTAAGAATGTTAAATTAACCAAATTAGCAGATTAGAACAAATATTCTTATTTTGTTCATTTGACTGTTATTTGTTGTTCAATTAAACAATACAATTTAACATTTTTAGATGGTTAAGTAAACGTGCAAAAACCATTGCTTGTATTTAAAGTGCATAAAGAGTTGAATTAATATTTTTTTTGTTGTTTCAACAGCTTATTTTTTTCAGTGTACGCGGAATAGGCAGTTGAAACCTATTCCAAAGTAGCCGGTGCAGTTCCACTGTAACATCCCTAAAAAAAATATTTTAGAGATGACTTGAGCGTTACTACACAAACGCATGCCCTGTATTTCATTTTTGGACCTTTTGTTTTTTTGGAGCTTAACATATTGTATACTTATACTTAATAACAATAATTTTCATTATGAACACAATTAAAATGTTCTTTATTTGCCAAGAAAGGCAAAATAATACAGAGCTATATTATATATAGCCTATATATACCTAGTATGTTATCTTTCCAAGTGGTATATGAGATATAAAATTAGTATTAGTAATATTATAACAATATGTTAAGCTCCAAAAAAACAAAAGGTCTAAAAATGAAATATATAAGTATACACTACAATGTATTTTTTTTAACTGCATTTTATATCAGCACGTACTATACAGTATGTATAAAAAATATAATATATGTTAAATAATTTGTCTTTTATAGCGAAGAGCACGATCCGGTGGCCGTGACCGGCGAAATCGACTTTCTGGAAGCAGGCGTTTCATTTTTCCAACGACAGTGCGTCAAGAAAGGAAACCCCGGAGTTTCTGCGGTCTCGTATCGTCAAAGGGGCTCGGGAGCTGGGCCCGCAAACCGTAGGAGGCCCCCAGAAAGTTTGGTGGGGGGAACGCCCTACGATCAACTCTGGCTTTGGAAGTGCTTTAATTACACGTAAGTAATGTTTTAATAATTTAGCAGCTATTATATGTATGATACACAACATGTATTTTACATATAGATAGGCAATCAAAACCGAAAACGATTTTGTTCATTTAGCAGAAATCGAAATTGGGGAAAAAGTTACTTTAGAACTGTCATCAAATTTTGTTTCTTAAAACTTTCAAAAAGGAAAATTGGCAAATAAAAAACACGAATTGAAGGGAAAAATCAGTTTTATACAATAAAAACAAAATGGCCGGTCAATTTTTTGTTTTTTTTTAATAAAAAAAAATATCTAATCGGTTTAAATTATTATCAGTTTTCTTATAATAATAATATTAATATTAATAATAGATTTATTGGTTGTCATAATGTACATACGTATTATAGTTTTACAAAAAAGACATATCTATAATACTTTTGTATGTATTTTCACAACAAAAGTGTCTAAAAAGCAGCAGACTGATATTTCTGTTTGGTTCAAGTTTATTTTTGGTATTCCTGCAGTCAACTTCCTCTAAGTTGATTTGTCATCTGAAATGTTGAACAACTTAGAAAGAGTAATGAAAATTATGTTCCTATTTAAAGGTATCTAATTAAAATGAGTTCAAGTTACATACTTATACATACAGGGTGGGCCAATGAAAAGTTCCACCTCGGTTTTTTAGGTGTTTTTTAGGTGTAAAAAAGTATATAAAACGCTTGCACACCTCTGTTTTTAATTTTAGGGGGAAATTTATTTTTATATTTTTAACCCCACACCAACCCCTAAGCGGTCGTGATGGTTACCCCTACAATTTTTAAGGGGAACATGGGTTGAGTGATACGTCATTTTAAAGGCCTTTAAATCCTATGGTGTATTAGTTTTTTAAAGCCAGTTTATTCCTTTTCAAGATATTTAAGAAAAACTTTATTTTTTAATTATAATGACGCGCGAGGTTTTAAGTAGATAAAAAAAATCACAAAATCTTGTAAATTTTATTAAAATCGGACAAAAATTGTTGGCACTAACAGAACTTTGAAATTGTCGAGTTTTTGCTAAAAAACGATTTTATTTCTTTAAAAGGACTAATAGCTACAATGATTCTTGAGAGTATTTGATTAATAAAATAAACAGTGTGTCGCATTTAAGATGAAGATACGTTCATATATTCCTATTTAAAAAAATACATATTTGAATTTTTGTGTTTTCATACATGTTGATGGGTCACAATTTTTAGGATACTCAACAGGGTTAATTGTCGATATTATACTTCGCGTAAGAGATATCGAAAAAAGTTGGAAAATTCAAATTTGTATTCTTTTAAATAGCGAAAATATGGGCTTTTTATCTTAAATGTGACACACTGTATAAACAAATTTAAATTTTTGCATATATCGAAAAACCGTGTTTTACAATATTTTGAAAACCAAGGCTTATTGAGCAAAATTAAATACATGATAGAACGTCATTTAAACAATTTGTCAATTTATTTTACACATACATATTTACATTTGAGAGAATAAAGAAATTATAAAAATTTAAAAATATTCTATAATTTGGTCCATGAGTGTATTTAATTTATTATAATATATTTTACTATTGTAGATAAAGACGAAAGTGTGCATTTTCAAAATAACCAAATTAATTAGTAAAAGTGACATTTGTAATTAGGTTTAAATTAGTATATACATGTATATGAATCGTCTAATTTCAAAAGCGGCCATCTCCAATTTTTTTCTTAAATGAGTTATTTACACTAATAAAATCGAAATATTACGTATTATATTAGTGCAAAATTATATCCCAACAAAAACGGCTATTTGCAAGGAAAATAATTCATTAAAGTTTTATCTTAGTTTTAATAACGGCCATCTCCATTGATGTTTTAAGTACAAAAATGTACTTAAAATGCCCATTTCCCTTTTGAAATATATGTTTTTTTAATTAAAACTTAAATCTGGTTACTTATTTTGTAGAAAAAATATTTTTAGATACCATATGAACAAGTTTTTCAAAATATATTTATTTTTTACCCATTACTGTTTAGAATGTTTTTTTGACGTTTACTTAAAATATTCTTCAAAGGAGATGGCCGCTTTTGAAATTGGACGATTCATATGTCGAATGAGGTACTATGCAAATTATGGGATTATTTAACAATCCCTTCCAATCCCCAGGATTAGGCACACTTACTAATGATCCTTGTTGAATGTTTATGAGTGATCTCGGCTAAGTAATTAATAATGATTTTACCTACACTGGATTTTAAGATTTAGGGGTATGTATAAATTGTGTTGTTTTTGGTATTTTCCATTGGAACTAAAAAGTACCTACCCCAAAAATGTATATTCGAAAAATGTTAACACAAAATATAATTTCATTTTGTTGTGTATACACAACATAATATATATAGTCCTTCGGAGGGGACTTTAAGCCCGCGGTCCGTTCCTACCTCTAACCCGCTCAAGCGATTCAGTTGGCTTCTGGGACTTCTTAGGAAGTAAGGGTGGAACTAAAAGAGCACTTTTGTTTATATTATACATTTAGTGATGCCAAACAACCCTTGTCATATTAAGAACTTAGTGGCACGCCTGAACCTGAACTTAGTGGCACGCCAGGTTTTCCACAAATAAAGAAAAAAATTTGATTTTGATTTTCACAAAATAGGGTTTTTTCCGCGATTTTTGAAATTCCTCCCAGTGTGTGTCGCCCATCAACCACCCCCCTTTCTGTTCACGTCATAATTTGTTTTGGTTTTCTGTCATTTTCGAATATTAACAATTTTTTTTCTTTAATATTTTCAGATTTTTTACAAAAAAGGAAATTATTGACTTCATTAGAATTTACCCCCCAAACCCCTCGTATTCATTCGTAAGACTCCGCTCTCCCTCTGTATGATCATGTAATAGACACCCCTAAGGTGAAATTAAATTGTATGACCTCCCTTAAATATTATGATATTGCGAAGATATAGAAATAACACAAAATTAAATGTATTTTAAAAATACCTATATATTTATTTATTTTTTATTTTTTTGAATATGCTCTCTTCCACTTTGTAAATGAAAGGCACAACTTGGTTTCAGTGTATCCAGCACTTCCTTAATATAATTGGTGGCAAGGGCATTTCTATTTGGATTGAAAGTCCTTGTGCTATATTTACCAATTCCTTGACCTCTGGGCCAGCCTTACGTTTACTTCCTTGCCCTACAACAAAAGAATTTGTTTGAACTGAAATTGTAATTTTGTCAGAAATTGACTCACTGCTAGGGTTTACTGCCTTGGAGGATGTCGCAACAGCATGCAGGCAGAAGACTGAGTCTTGCTGCATATTTTTTTATTCCTCATATTCATCATCCTCCTGCAAGGATGGAAAGAGTTCCAGGGGTTTCTTTCAATGGGCTTCTTGTATGGAGGCAACGTTTTCACCTCTACAAGCAGCCATTTTGTTGTTAAAGTTCTCCTAGCAGTACATAATAAAGTTAATAACATATTATTAGGTTAAAACTAACTTACTTACTTTCTCACTGCCTTTGGCACCCAGCTTAAAATACCCCATAGAGACCCTGTTAAAACCGATAGATATTTGTATCGGAATGTATGGTGTTTCTATAGGCTGTATCGGTATGTATAGGACCAATAGTTGGGATTTATGGTTGTTCTATAGGGATATCCACCCTTGATTTATTTGCTATTGGTTTCAATGGGGAAAATACACATAAATATAGAAATTAGTATTTCCCCCATAGGACCCCATAGGTTTTAATAAAATTTTGTCAAATGTTTTATGGTTGTTCTATAGGGATATCCCTATATATCCTTCATTGAATTTTTTGCTATCGGTCTCTATAGGGAAAATGTAAAGGTTATGGTGTGCCTATAGGTAATTTCCTATAAATTTTCTATCGGGCCGTATCCGGAAAAAACCATGGACAAATGCACATATTGAATCCGGTAGCGCCCGATAGATTATTTTGTATATGTCTCTATGGGGTATTTTAAGCAGGGCACTCAGCAACATTAAATATATGACCCAATTTAAAATTATATCTAACCAGTGGACTCCATAACCCTTGCCATCTACAGCCAACTCTGCTCCTTCATTTCCGCATTTTTATAGTCTTTGCTTTGCAAGTCCCATATATTTTGAAACGATTGTATCATGGATATAAAAAGTACAATCTATTGTCAAACTTAACTTACAGTAAAAACTTAACTTAAAACGTCTACATTCGTACCGGGGAGGAATGATCTCAAGTTTTATTTATTCTATGACAACTAAATGGGTGGTACACAATATTTTTATGGAATCAAATAACATTTAGAGATCGTATATTGGGAAAATTAATATTATCAAATACTAAAATCAAAAACTTTGACATAAGGGATGCTTTTAATGGCTTATAAAACTGTTTCCGGTGATTTTTTACTAGGCGAAGAATATACTGCATCTGTTCTTGGTCCTGTATTTTTTAATAAGACTGGTTTCCCGTTCGGCAGTATCATTAACCATTTCTTATTAATTGCCAAATTTAAGGTGGCGTATTACTCTTATTCAAAAATACAACCAGTCACTGTATACTTTCAGTAATTCTTTACTTTTGAATTTTCCTTCAATAATAGACATGGATGAAGAAGCTGGTTCTTTTAGTATAATATATATTATAATATAATATTAAGTCTATTGTGAAAAAATTTTCCATATAAAAATCAATGCTACGTGAAGGCTTTAGATTTTTAACACTAGTTTGAAGACACTCTGTCGTCAAAAAATGCAAAGGCTACTGAGTGCTCTGAAAGAAACCAACCCTGCTAGGATAACTTTTTAGAGATGAATGTAATTATAGGGAGCTCTAATCCAAATGAAGATTTATTCCAATACCTCGCAAAAACCAAGCTAAGAAATATTTGAATGCTTTGTTTCTCTACTTGTTAGAAAATAAATGGCTTTTGACATCCATCAAGCAGAAGAGACAAACTTAAAAAAATATATAATCGTTTAGTGGTTGCTGTTTTTCTAGTAAGCAAT